TACTCGATGCCAGGGTCTGGTGTCCTTGGGTGACTGAAGGTCTTCCTCCCAGGATTATTTTCTCAGGCAGGGCAGGCGAACTATCTAGGGCACTAAAGGAGACAGGTTGGCTCTACAAACAGCCCCTCTCCTTCAGTCCCGGGAGTGACCAGTTGATAAGGCTTGAGCAAGGCCAGTCTGCCAATTTAGAGCCAGTTGGCCACTTTAAAGGATTTATAGTTTTATGACTTCCCTAATGAGGCATATGGCTCTCCTGCAATTCACACATTCTGTAAGTCACAACCTTCATGAAGTAGCTCATTCTTATGTGATAGGAACAAGAAACAGCTCTCAAAAAACTCTTTTTGTTTCATTTCTTTTTCATTTCAGAGATACAAAGCCTATCTCTAGGACCAGCTTCCTGGGTGTGTGACCTGGGCAGTTGCACAGGACTCCACCCTCAGAGGAATCCCAAGCTGGGTTAATGCTCTAGAAATTCTTAGTATTTTTAAAATGAGAAGATCCACATTTTCATTTTGTGCTGGACCCCCCCCCAAATTACCCAGTTGGTGCTGCCTATCTTTTTGATATGTACCTTAAGTTTGTGACATATTTATGAAACTTCAGTTGTTCCTTAATCTTCTGCTCCTTTTCTTCAGAAAATATATTTCAAATGTCTTGGTGGCATGGCATGTAAAGGTTTTCATCTTTGCTACCTCTCCTACCCTGTGCTGAAGCTTCCTTTTCCTCCTCTCTCTCAACTTAGTACCCTTTCCTTTCAAATTGAAGTTTCAGACATTGTATTAGCTGTTTTTTGCTCTTGTAGACTTGCCAGCTAAAACCCTTGCATAGTATGCCCCGGTGAGGAGGTCTTTTGTCTCTTTTCCTGGGTAGCTGCACCTTAACCTACAGGTCTGAACTGAGTTGTCACTGTAACTGTCCTGGCAGAAATGAAGACATTCTAAAGAGACACTTGTGGCCGTCCTTTTGGCACTCAGACTATTAAAACAATGGTCCCCAAGAAATAGGAGTTTCCAGCGGGGCTTGGTGGTATATGCTTTTAGTCCCAGAACTTGGGAGGCAGAGGCAGGTGGCTGGCTGGCTGTGAGTTTGAGGTCTACTTGATCTACATCTTGAGTCAGCCAAGGCAACATAGTGAGACCTCTCCCAAAGAAAGAAAAAAAAGAAATTGGAATTTCCCCAGGAATCTCATGCTGGGAGAAAGAAAAGGCTAAATAAAGCCTGGCACCAACCAAAGAAAAGATTTCACACACCTGTCAGACCACTTTGCAACAGAGACCAGAGCAAGGACAATGCTGGGCGGGACCACACTTTGCCTAGTTAAACACACCTCTTTTGCTGTCTACTGAAACCTAAACTTCCATCAGGACCAAAGATGGATTTAGGGGGTTGGTCACTGGACCTCTTTGTTTTCCCAATATGACTATTAAATAAATCTTCTTTCTCTGCTGTTTACTATTACTCGTCTATTTAGTTGTACCACTGAGGACTGGTGGCTGTTAGAAATAAAATCTGAGGTCCAAAGACCCTACCAATACCTCACACACAGAACACTCAGATAAAGCGAAAATAACCCAGGCAGCTTTTACTTTTGAAAAGGGGTGCATTGTGTCGCCATTCAGATCAAGCAAGTACACCCAATCCTTGGAACTGGGGTTACAGGTGATTGTGAGCCACCAGACATGTATACTGAAGAACTGAACCTGGGTCCTCTGTGAGAGCAGCACATGCTCTTATTGCTGAGTCATTTGCCCCATTTGTTTTGTGTCTTATCTGTTTACTTTACATTGGCTGAAGGCGCAGAGATGTCATTGTCCAATCATTTCTCTTGAGTTGCCTTAGATTACTAGAATAACAGAATCTTGACAGACCCCTCACCTCAGGAAGGACACATGTCCACAATGGTGAGGTGGTGTCCTGGAGCAGAAGTGGTCATCCTGTAGGAACCAGATTGAGGCCCCGAAAGGTGTCAGTGATGACTTATTCAGACAACCTTGCAGAACAAAACTGAGACGATGATCAAGGAGACCACACCTTGACCAGGACTGCTTAATTATGCATGCCATCTGTCCTTTGTTCCTCTATAATAACCTAATGCTCAGTAGCCCAAAGATAGACTTGGGGTCACTGGACCCCTTTATTTGTTCTTCTTCCCTATGTGAGCACACTGAATAAAGCTTTTCTTCCTGATTCTCCCCATTACTTCTCTCCCCTCGCCCCTCTTGAGACACGGTCTCCCTGTGGCCCCAGTTGACTTGGAATTTGCTATGTAGACCAGATTGGACTTGATCTTACAGAGATCAAAGGTATATACCATGATGTCCCAGCTTCTTTTTTTAATTAAAAAAAAAATTATTTTTGTCTTTTTGAGGCAGTGTCTCCCTGTAGCCTCAGCTGGCCTGGAACTTGCTATGTAGACCAGGCTGGCCTCGAACTCACAGAGCTTCCTCTACCTCTTCCTCCCAAGTGCTGGGATTTAAGGTTTTCACCACCAGGTCCGGCTTTAATTAAAATTTTTTTAAAATTTATTTTTATTTTATGTGTATAAGTGTTTTGACTGCATGTATTTAAGCATACCTGAGAGTACAGTGCTGGAGGAGGTCAGAAGAGGGTGTTGGATAGAACTAGAGTTAGGGATGGTTGTTAGCTGCCATGTGGGTGGTGAGAACCAGAAATGGGTCCTCTGAAGGAGTAGCCAGAGCTCTTAACCCCTGAGCCATCTCCTCAGTCAGAGAGAAATGTTTAAATTGGATATGGAGAGCAGCAGGGAAACAGTGAGATATTGGAAAGGAGCCTCAAGCCAGTTGCAGGACAAAACAACCAAGAACAGGAAAGATGTTCTGCAGGCTCAAACAGAAAAGATACCATTGTGCCCTGAGGCTTCTAGGATTAGAAAAAAAAAAAGTTACATCAAGGCCCGAGTTATGCTAATAAATTTTTTTTTTTTAAGTTACTTTCTTGTTGGGCATGGTGGCACATGCCTTTAATCTCAGCACTCAAAAGGCAGAGGCAGGTGGATCTCTGTGAGTTCAAGGCCATCGTGGTCTACATAGTGAGTTCCAGGCCAGCTGGGACTGCAGGGAGACCCTGCTTCAAAAAGACCAACCCCCTCCCCCCGCCAAAAAGGTTACTTTCTAAATTGTTACTCCAGTTAAATATGTCACCATCATTTATTTCAACCTGGCCTTATCTATTCCTGGGAAACCAGTTCTTACTCTGAGGCCAATCCTCCAATGCATTCCAACAACCTCCCGCCAAAGACCCTGAAGCTAAGTTTAATTTACTAAACTTTGCCTGTTGCATGCATTGTTTCTCCACATCTTTCTCTAGCTCGTTTCTATTCTGTTTTTTACGCTTTTTTTGTTGTTGTTTATTGTTTTTTATTTTATGTGTACAAGTGTATTGCCTGCATGTGAATGCACCCGAGTCCTGCAATGCCCGGGAGGTGAGAAGAGGGTTTTGGATTCCCCTGGAACTGGAGTTAAGGACCGTTTGTAGCTGCCATGTGGGTGCTGGGAATTGAACCCAGGTCCTCTGCAAGAGCAGTCAGTGCTCTTAACCGCTGAGCCATCTCTCTAGCCTCTCTATTCTATTTTTTAAATTCGACAGCAACTTGGCAATTGTGACTTCAGATCTTGAATAATAAATTTTCTGAAATGCTTAATTCTCTGTAACCAATGAGCCATTTGCCTAATCCAAAATTCTGGAGGGAAAAGAGGGAGGTAACTACAGTAACCTGAGAGTGTGAATTTTCATTTTCTTTCAGTGCAGTATTGCTCATCCCATATTTCCATTCCTTCTTAGAGCACTAAGGCTTGTCCTGTTGAAAGTGGATGTGGACATAAACACATAGTAAATTTTTTGCAGTACTGAGAATGGAACTCTGGGTCTTCTGTATGCTATGATAATGCTCTACCGCTGGAGTAAAGCCCTAGCCTATAACTCAATAATAAATAGAAGGTCCCAGAGAGAAAATTATATCTAATGTTAGGAAGAAAACTAAGCAATAACTGAGCTTTTCTGGTCAGTTTTTCTGATTGCTTCCCACAATAATATTGCTTTTTATTTTTGCTTAAGGACTTGCAATGCACTGGGCATCTCTGAGGATAGCTTTTGGCTCTTTTAGAATCATTAAGCTATACAACAAAAATGTGTCAGGTTTACATCCCTGTGAAACCAACCAATCCTGCACTGCAGCAGCTTTCCAAACGTCATCTTCGTATTTAACAAGTCCTTAGATTTTAATCGAACCCATTTTATTTCCTTTTCCAAGCCTGAAATGAAACATTCACACGCACTTTTAATCCAATTTATCTGAGATTCTTGGCTTTCACAGTGGTCAGTGGCTAAACCTTAAATCAGAGCCTCCCAGACAAAACACGGCCCCAGAGGGAGGAAGCACCACTCCTCCCACCCTGCTCTGCAGTCCTGTCGGCTCTCTCAACGCTGTGTGTTGTGTCTTGCAGAGACCTCCGGGTAGTAACTGGTTTGATGATTGTTTCTTTAGAGCTGTAGTCATGATTAAAAATGCTACCCAAGCACAGCGAGGATGCCCTTGACACACATCTTATTTTCTGGGAAAAGATTACCGCCACAGTAATTGAGCTGGGAAGAGGAGACAAATTGCTCTCTGAGGATTCGGCAGTGCTTCAAAGTACTGCAGTTGACTGGAATCACCACGCACTTTCTTCCTCCAATTTGCAAGATAACTACAGTTCTAGTACAGTACCTATGCATCATATGCAAGATACAAATGGGGCTAACACAAAAGGTCTGTAAATGCATCTGAATCCGAAGCAAACCTGCACCCGCTGCTCGAGGAAAGCGGGAAGGCCTGGAGTTCTCCTGCAGGTTGCCTCCGGAGCATCCGGGAGGTTGCTGCAGTGATGCATTTATTAGCACAAGGCTCCCTGAGCGGGCAGCTGGCTGGAGCCCGCGGTGACGTCACGAACCCGGACAGGTCACGTGGCCAGCGGCCGCCCCGCCTCTGCCTCCTCCTGCCGCCGCGGTCATTGAGCTCCGGGTCCGGTCGCAGCCGCCGCTCGGAGCTGTCGGGGCAACGCGGAGCCTGGGACCGGGCGTGCGGGCCGGGCGTCGGAGGGGCAGAGCAAGAAGGCGGGAGCGGCCGAGGAGCCGGCGACGGGCCCAGGGCTACGCGGACGACGCTCTCTCAAACTTGGGGCGCGCTCTATAGCCGCTGCGCCCACTGCCCGAGCCATGAAGATGGTAGCGCCCTGGACGCGGTTCTACTCCAACAGCTGCTGCCTGTGCTGCCATGTCCGCACGGGCACCATCCTGCTCGGCGTCTGGTACCTGGTGAGCGCCTCCCCGCGGTGGGGCGCAGGGGACCCCGGGCACCCCGGGCCCGCGCCGCTAAGTCGCCTGCGGGGTCGGCCTCGGCTTGGGGGACGCCCGTGCTCATCCGCCTAGAGTTGTATTATTAGAAAGTTAATTCCCGGGCGAGCCTGGCAGCAGTGCCCTGGGCTGTCCAACCTGTGGCGGGGGAGGCGGCGGGACTCCAGGCCAGCCCCGGGTTGGGGGCGCGGGGTCTTCAGGGCGATGTGGCCGAGGACCTCGGAGCTAGACTCCCAGCACGTACCCCTTCGCATTTGGGGTCCTAAACCAGTTGGGGTTGCGAGGGGCCGTCTCGGGCGCGCTGCCCCGGGCTCGGGTGCAGATCCGACATGCCCATCCTCCCTGTGCGCATCTCCTCGAGTCTGCAGAACGTTCGCCCCTCCCGAGTTCGGATCCGAGTGGAAACGGTTGAGGGGCTCTTGTATCCCTCTCGTGAAGGGGTGCCCCGCACATACATGTTTTTAAGTTCTCAGACCCGGAAGGCATCTGCGCGTGATAGTGTCCCAGTCGGCCCGGAGAAGCCATTTTACACCCTCCCCCTTTCCAGCCCGTGGACAGGTGATCTCTCCGAACCCTCAGGGCGGGCAAATGGAGGGTTCTTTTGTTTTGTTTTAGCGTGATGATTTTTCAAGTCTCATGTGTGTGGAGAACAAACAGTGATTGATTACCCTAGGCAGCGAGGAAGCCTGATGGCCTCTTGCCGGGTGCTGCCCTTGGGTGATGATTGGCAACCCTGAAGCACCAGTCCTGAGTCGGATTCCTCAGCATTTTGGATTTTGTGACATAATGCTTGGGAGCTAGACTCGAGCTACTTTGAAGTTAATAGCGCTGCAGGACGGGGATCTGCGTTTTAAAGAAAAAAAAAAAAAAAAACGTAGTTAAGTGGCATCTAAAACTTTTCAGTGAGAATGCATTCTTAGCCCCTTCACGAGTCAGTTTTTTCTTGGCTTATGTTTAACATTTGATAATTTTTATATAATATAGGCAATATAGTCGAATTTCAAACTACATTGTGCCATTTTAAACGCAGCCCCCCCCCCGTGATGTTACTGTGCTATTTATAGTCTCGTTTCCTTTAGTTGGGCCCATTATGGCCACACAATAGAAATTTTTAGCCTTAAAAGCTTTCAAGCAAATCGTTGATACGTGTGGGTTCTTGCTGTGTAGTGTGCTTGCAGAGTGAACATTAGCGTATTGGGTCAACCCTGACTTTTCTAAAAGCCAAGGAATTTACAGAAATTTGAAATCAAAGCTGAAGTATAGTAAGCAGCTTCAAGTAGTGCTTTTACTGATGGTCCGAACAGTCTTCTACAAATGTCTTGTATCCTTGAAAATGTTCAGATCTGCAAGCTTCCAAGTACTTCAGTGGATGTCATTTGTAAAATCTAGGGCATTGCATTAGGCAAATGTACTACATGATTTACAGGAAAGATAAATCTACTTGAGCTCTGTTGGAGGTAATCCAACCGGACAGAACTGGTGTGATAAGCTTAGAGCCCTCCACATTCCACATTCCTTCTCTGCTGTGGAGCCTGCCCTTTGTGGGGGGTGTGCCTCTAGCATTTGGAAATAAATGTGGCCATTTGCAAGATAGAGAGCTGCTGTGAATTGGAAACTGGGTTTGAGTGCTGCTGATTTCTGTAAAAATTCTTTTCTATTTCACATGACAATTGAGACATTTTTTTCCCCCAGTAGTTGAGTTTCCTCATACTTTTAAATATAATTTGGTTACCCAAAACTTCAATTTCCATGTTGAATGACTGAGGTAGCTAGGGCACTGGGCCTTTGGAAGAACTAGGCACCTCCCCTCCCCCAACACTCCCTCTCCTCAATCTAGAGTCAGTATTAGGAAGGGGGAGAGTTTTCTGAAGAGGGTAAGAGTGTGGACAGACATTCACCTGAGAGTTCACTGTAGGCTGAGCCAGATAAATAAAGTGATTCTTTTTAGTATGTTTTGTAATTGTTGTTTCTTAACCACTGCCATTTTCTAAGTCGGGCCTGTCTGCCAGGGTCTGTGCCAGGAGCCTGTGTACTCTTAATTTTGCATATTCCAGTGAGGTTCCTTTTCATTCCTGTTTTATGGATGAAAACCGAGGTTAAGAGCTTACACAGTATTTACAGTCCTTGGTTTCATCTTGTGATGTTTTAGTCTGCCCTGTTTCTATTTTCCTTTTTTCTTAACACTCTTAAAAGTTGTTCATATGTTTTGTTTTTATCTTGGAGTATTAAGGGTTTTCTTCAGAAATTAACATAAATTCAGGTATTTATGAGATGTGTGGGTTTTTTTTTTCCCCCCTTTTTATCAGACTGTCACATGTAGTGAAATTCCATTACTTTTTTTTTTTTTTTTATTTTTTTTGAGACAGGGTCTCCTTATAGCCCTAGCTGGCCTGGAACTCACTTTGTAGATCAGGCTGGGCTCAATCTCACAGAGATCCACCTGCCTCTGCCTCCCGAGTGCTGGGATTAAAGGTGTGTGCCACCACGTGCCCGGTTCCATTACACACACCTGGTTCCATTACGCCTTGTATGTTTCATTGAATTGGCAAATGGATATACCTGTGTAACCACTTCCCCAGAGAATGTTCTGAAACTCTAGAAAGTTTCCTTGTGCCTCTTTCTGGTTAGTCCACACCTCAGACTTTTCCCATTCAGTCACCATAGATGAGCTTGCCTTTTCATACAGTGGGATTTGACTGTGTACACCTTTGTGTTCAGCCCCCTTTTTAGATTCCTTATGTTGGAGTGTATGAATAGCTTGTTACCTCTTGCTGCTGAGTATTATTTTATTCTATGAATATACCACATTGTATTTATTTGCCAGAGATTGGATTGCCTATAGTTTGGGACTATATTATATATTCAGTTGCCCTAAACATTCTTAACCAAGATTTTGCTTTTTGAATTATGTTTGTATTTCCATTGGGTAAATACTTAGGAGTGGTATTGTTCTTTGGGTAAAGTATGTTTACCTTACACAGTGCTAACCAGTTTTCCAAAGTGGTTCTACCAGTTAACACTCTAACTAGTAATGTATGAAGTTCTAGTTGCTTCACATTCTGCCCAGTATTTGGTGCTGTCAGTCTCTTAGATTTTAGCCATTCTAGCGGGTGGGTATGCAGTAGTACAGTGGCTTAATTTACATTTCCCTCCTGGACAATGATGTGGAAGAGTTTATCTTTGGATGTTGGCCAGTTGCATGTCTTCCAGTTTTTTTCTGGGTTCTGTGTACTTCCCATTGATTTCTAGAAACTCTATATACTTGGCTACCAGTCCTTTGTTAAATATATATTTTGTCTCCCAGAGTATGGCTTGCACACTCATTTTCTTAATGATATATTTTAGTGAATGGAAGTTAAACATATATTTATTTAAAAAGACAGTTTAAAGCTGAGCATGGTGGCTCATGCCTGTAATCCCAGCACCCAACAGGCCGAATCAGAATTGCTATGAGCTTAGACCAGCCTATTGAGACCCTGTCTCGAAAAAGAAACGTATCAGAATGACGGCTGTGCATTCTGGGGTGTTCTCTCTTCCTGTCCATCAGAGCAGAACAGTGGGCACTCAGTATCCAAGGGTTCTACATCTTTGCTCTCAGCCAGTGTCCTGGAGATATGTCTGTACCCAACATAGACAAGCTCCTCTTGTCATTCCTTAAATAATAACACTATAATCACATCACATTTACATTGCACTAGTTATAAGATCTAGGGGAGGATATGCTAGGTTTTTTGCAAATGCTAAGCCATTTTATAAAAGACTAGAACATGGAAGGATTTTAGTGCTTTCCTCTGTACCCCAAATTTGCTCATATTCTGTAGTCTCCAACTATCCTTTAGACTTCCTGGCTCAATATCTTTGTTCTTTTTAAAAAATATTTTGTGCTGGGTGTGGTGGCGCACGCCTTTAATCCTAGCACTTGGGAGGCAGAGGTAGGCAGATCTCTGTGAGTTCGAGGCCAGCCTGGTCTACATAGTGAGTTCCAGGTCAGCTGGGGCTACAGGGAGACCCTGTCTTAAAAAGACCAAAAAAAAATTTTTGCAAGAACAGTCAGATCTCTTAACCACTGAGCTACCTCTCTAGTCCCAATGCCTCTGTTCTTTTTGCCACCTTGATCTCTTTATTCCAGCTCCATGTCCTGTTGATTTTTGCCGTACTTTCTGGCTATTTTCTTTTTCGGCTATTTTCTTATCTGCCCTGTTCCCTTGTTTTTGCCGATTAGCTCTCACTTGACTACTGGAATATGGCCACTAGTCTTCCTTAAACTGTTAAAGCCACATTTCTTCCCCCTCATGTACGCTTCTTTTCCAGATATCCTTTGTTTAAAAGCATGTGTGTAAGTATACCACATGCATGCCTGGTGCTTGTGGAGGTCGGAAGAGGGCATCAGATCCCCTGGAACTGGAGTTACAGATGGTTGTTAGCTGCTATGTGAGTGCTGGGAATTGAACCCGGGTTCCTTAGAAGAACAGTAAGTGTTCCTTAACTGCTGAGCCATGTCTTCAGCCCCATATTTATTTTTTTATTTTATGTTATGAGTGTGTTGCCTGCATGTATGTATGTGTATCTATGTTCTGCATTGCCCGTGGAGGTCAGAAGAGTGCGTTGGATCCCCTGGAACTGGTTGTTAACCACCATGTGGGTCCTGGGAACTGAACCTGGGTCCTCTGCAAGAGCATTCAGGCTCTTAACTGCTGAGCTCTCTTTCTAGCCCCTCACCCCCTTTCAAAAGTCTGTTTGTGTGTGTATGCCACGTGTGTATGCCACATGTGTGCAGGTGCTTGTGAAGACCAGAAGACGGCATTGAGTACCCTGGAACTGCAGTGAATGAGCTCCATGATGTGGAGGCTGGGAAATGCTTGGGTCTTCTGGATGAGCAGCAAGTGCTCTTAACTTCTGAGCCATCTCTCCAACCCCAGATATCCTTTTTTTTTTGTTGTTTGTTCCTTTTGAGACAGGGT